CACGGCGTTTTTCTACTCATTGTAATCTTGAGGCTTTGCCCGCTGCTTCGTGGGCGAGCTCTACTTGATGCATGTCGATGGAGCTGCTTGCCTGCATTCACGAAGTTCCAAAGCATCTTTGACGTCCTTCCCCTGGGAAACGATAAGGGAAAGATCATTTTCTGAAACCGTTCTTGTAAATGAACGATAAATTTAACAACAAAAGGAGAAAGAAAGAAAGAAAAAGAAAGCGAGACACGTAAAGAAGCTCGAAAAACACGCATTTTCTTTGCATTTCTACAGCAAAAGGGATTGAATAATAGGTGCATCAATCTAGTGAATTGGCCGGCTAGGATTCAAACGATCTTTCTTGTGGGTTATTGGCTTGAGTTCGATTCATCGGTTCAACATAACCAATATCCAACTATAGGGTTTACCGACGAAAAATGCATATTGTACAAACACGCCTTAGTTTTTCACTCATTTTTCTATCATTAGGGCTCAAGAACGTACATAATTATGCCTTCTTTGATTATGGACAATTACCGACTAATCATCCTTTGGACTTTGCTTATGAATTATTGGTCTGGCTATGATGCATTGATGAGGGGAATAATTCAATTTGACCTTAGACAAAATTAGCTCAACCACCGCCCTCTACTCATGTAGACCAAAACCATAAATCTCACTTGGCTTAAAGGCATTCCCCTTCCTCTTCCAACATCTTCTGTGGGGCTCAAATGAGGGCCAACCTCCATGTTCTACGTTCTAAACTTTGTTTGCACTTTGGTAAATGTCTCCATCGCTCACTCTGGACCATCTGCTGAACCAGCAAATATTCAGCTCAATCTATTATCGAAAAAATCCCCAAGAAATTGCAATTCCCACCTTTTCCCCCACCCTTTTCCTCGAGTACGAGAACCAAACATTAATTGCAAGACAGGGACTCGAATTGGTTAGAAATTCACGTCGTTACATCACCGTCGTGCTTTTAATACCGTAAGGTTATTCACCAAAATAAAATGACCGGCTTGGCGGCGTAATTATATTATTCTGTTATCGTGCCTTGTCATGTTTGAATTTTCTATCTCTAATTTAGGTGTTCTTATCGTTTATGTACATAGATCGGGATCGATATCACGTGCGTTAAGTCCATTTCTCCACAAGAAAGGAGGTGACAAACATGGCTTTCATTGTCACGCTTGTATCACATCGAACTCATGCACGTTCAGTCCATTTCTCCTTCATCCCTTTTCTAGGCCTTTCCATTACTCTGCTTTTTTGCGAAATTTCCTTTTCTTTTGTTTTTTTTAGGAGGAGAGCTAATCATTCTTCTTTCTTTTTCCTTTTCCTCGTAATTAAAACGAATCAAAAGGTATCGAAATTAGATGCTGGAGACAATAGATTAAATGATGTGGTATATTTTAACGTCCCTCTTACATGTAAGCCGGATTAGGAACGACATTTGGAATTTGACGGATGAGGGGTCGCACACGCGAAATAAACCGAATAGAGCCCGGCTCTTGTACCATTTAAAACGTGCTACCTAAAAAATTAATAAGTGAAGAGAGTTCACGTGTGTATAAAAGAGCGCACAAACTATCTTAGACAAGATTTTTCATAAAAATGCTTGTTAGCGACTGAACCGAGCCAAAATGTGGTAACATCCATGCAATTAGAGGGTATGTGCCACCTCCACGTCACCATTTCCACACTGGATAACTCATAATCCTCTTTGCTCTTTTGCTTTGTTTTTTATAATATAAATTATCATGCGTCATTTAATAGATTTTATTATTAGGACACTGCCCGATAATAGAGGCTGCAAAAGAAAAATAGGGATAAGCTTTTATGTCATCCTAGTCAGGCAGTACACGCAAATCTTTCCATTTCTTTAATTCCTCTCTTATCTTTGAATTTGTCACTTCAAGAGAAAGCTACTCGATTGGGAAATGCATGATATCATTCGTCTGGTCTATTCACGTCAACAACATTGTTATTTCACGGTTTTGCTAGGGACTTAATTGAAGGTTTTATCCTTGGATGGTGGACGAAATTTAAGAAAAGAAAAGAAAAGAAAAGAACCGGTTGATTTACCGTGGATTGCCGAGAATTCCGTGACGAGGAAACCGGGGAAAATTTTGGGATTTAATCGCTGTTTCAGGATGGGCAGCGTTGGATTAAATGAATGCTAAAACAAGATCGTGAACCGAATTAGTCCAAATCAAGTATATAATAAGGTAGCAAAATATAGCTGGAATGAGCCATTTGACAATCTGTATCATTGGGCCATCTTGACAGACAGAATTGCCGGTTGAATTCTTGCTCGGTGGACTCCGGTTGGGCCTCCAGCCAAGCAAAGAGGGGCCCATCAATTTGGTTTTATTGAGTACATTATTTTGGTCATTTTAGTATTCGTTATCCGAGGGAAAAAAGAAAGTGCAATCAAAACCTGAACTAGCCGTCGTGGGTTCTTGGGAGAACCCTTTGCGGCGCCCCACGTGGCCCTTTTGAATGTGGCCGTGCAACGTGCGTCTTCCCCCCCGGCGGATGGGGCGGCGCTCTCTTCCTAAACTGACGCTGCTCGAGACCTCTGCTTCGAAATCCCTAAAGAAATCAGCCTGAAATGGTGGACTGAATTTGGATAAAGCCTTATCATCCTAGTCAGGCAGGAGGACATTCCTTGAAATTGAAACTGTCAACAACATCCTTACACTAACAAAAGCCAACGTCTAAACCTTCTTTTCATGTCCAAGAACATTTCAACTGCCGGTGATATCTCGACTAGTAAAATAATTAGCGCGATTTCGAGATCTTTACTCACAAAGACCAACAATTTTCCTTTTCGCCCCGACTGTCGTTATCGGACCGATTCGAACGTCTTCGCTCGCTCACGCGAGGGAAAATTTCGTGATAATCGCATCAAAATGAGGGCAACAAAACACAAATTTTCAGCCCATCAAAGAGGAGAAAACAAGAACGGGGCTTGTGGATGAGTTTTCGATTTGGCACGGAAGACAGAAAAACATAATCTTGAGGACCAGGAAAATTTTCCTCGGAGAACAAAAACGTGGCCATGGGAAAGATATCATCAACTATGACAAAATGGGAAGCAGATTGCGACAAATTGAAAAGAGAGAAGGGAGAGAGAGAGAGAGAGAGCTATCCAAAAATCTAGTGCTAGTTTGGTCCTACAGGGATCCTTTAGAATATGCATGGCCTGCCCTTTTTGCAGAAGGGCATTCAGGTATTGTTTCCATCGTCTGCACTCAACTGCCTTATCTCCCCTGTGCTCAATGTACCACACACACTCTGTTTGGGGACCCCCCTGTGGTTGTGGATTGGAAAAGTATTGCCATGTCATTGAGTCGTGGAATCAGATGGTGGGCATTTTTTTCACCGAGCGTTAGAGATTCGTATGTATTTCTCGAGAACTCGTGCCCTAATCGCGCAACTTTCACGCGGGGATCGAACGAGTTCCGTAGGGCGCGTAATGAACACAAATCGCTTTGCGAAGTCGGTAGTTGAAATTAGAGGTGAATGCGGAGTTAGGTAACGTTCAGTAGAGTTTTAAGTCCCCGCTGCACATTAAAACACGTTCAGAAGTCGAGTCAACGATGCGCGATTCACTTGATTAAAGTGCCAGTAGAGAAAGCATGGAAAGAAGCTGTCTATTCTTTTGAGGATGCTGCCTTATATTTAACATGACCTTCAATGGAGAACCACACATCAACTGTGGATAGAGTTGGTCCAAAATGGCCCCATCAGAATCTCCCCATTAATGCACTTTAGCTTACGATGGTATGAACAAGAACGAAGTATACTTGTAGGATAAAAATATCCCGACTTTTTAAATGATTCACAAAACCCCCAGGAACTTTTGCACCATGGACAAAGATGACCACCAGGAAATTGCTTGAATCGAACTTCAAACGTGAATCATGAAAAATCATCACCACCTGAAACATGAAGATGATGAGTCCCAATCACCATGGACCGGGACCCTAACTCTCGCTTTTTTCTTGAAACGTGAAGCAGATTATGCTTAAACCAGAGGAATCAGGAAATACAACATTTTAGAGAAACGAGTCTTTGAGATTTTTACTTACATGTCAACTCTTTTCTCTTTTGTTCGCGCGTCTTTTGTACATGTCAATAACGTTGATCACGTCACATGTCACGTTAGTCTGCATAGACGAACAATCTAACGGTGGGTATTTCATCCACAGATCAAATTTCGTGAAAATCGTCCGAAAATTAGAGATACTTTTGTCCCAGGGTGAAAAGTTCACGAGTCTTTTTGGGATTTGACCCGCAAAAAAATGGTTACTTGGTAGATGCTAGATACTGACGAGCCAGGCTGATCTAGGTAACGGTTTTGTTTTTCCTTTCGGGGCGTACACCATATGTTTCGGTTCAGTTCTATATGATACGTGGCCTTGATCTGTCCGTGTTAAGACAGAACAGTCACAATTCATCTTGCTGAATTTATTTACAGGTATAGCGAAACCGTATACTGTGGGAGTCCCACTTATACACCAGTACATTGTTTTTGCTCCGCGAGGGCTAAAGCCTATATCTAAGGGTCGAATACGTATTCATCGTCAGAGAAAGGCAGAGTTTCTCATTCTGATAGGCCGACCGATAATCCTGTCCTTCGCATGATGGGCCTTACCTTGCATCATCCATCGAGCGCAATCGACTCGATGACCACCGACGGAAAGCACAAAAAACGATGAGAAATGTTGATTCAAGGAACCTGTGCTTGCACTCAGATGTTAAGTTAGTTTCCACAATACATCATACATGATTCAATCACCCAATTCGATGAATGCACGGAATCATCATTGTGTTGAAAATAAAATGAGTTTCCCGATGTCCTGCGCTCCGGAAATTCAGCCAGAGCTCTCTCATATTAAAATAAAATGGGTCTTTTTCTTCTTGTTACCGCTTTGTAAAGAAGCGTGACGAATCATCGAGGATCAAAGTAAAATGCATGCAATAGAAAATGCAGACCGATCTTCAAGGAATCGGGTTACATCCTGTCATGATTCCCACAAAGAACGAAGTTCAGCAAAATTGAGAACGGATTGCGAATAGGGACAAAAGGAGGAGAGGAGAGGAGAGGCGAATTCTACTCTTCTACTATTAATAGTTTTCTCAACACTGCTAATAAGGTAAAGCAACAGAGGGTACAAATTATTGCTGAAAGTACTCTTTTGTAAGATACATCTGTGCTGGAAGTCTGACTCCGGTTTTTCAGCTCCAGGGCCGTCCCCCACCGTAACCTCTTCCACGATCTCTGAATCCTCCATGACCTGTACAGCGGGGGTGCAAGAGAAGCCACACTCAGCAACAAAACCGTGGTATAACTTGCATGAGCTTTTCTTTTCTTCTTTTTTCCTTTTAGAAAACCAGAGGTGCTTTTTTTTTTTGGGGGGGGGGGGGGGAGTTAGTTTAATTTGCATGCGCATTGTACATGTAGTCGGGACCTTCTGGCTGGCTTTTCCAACATACCCATCGAAAATGCAACAAAAAGCTCATAAAGAGAGGCGTCATTTTATGACAGAAGTCATCCACTCTCGATGGAGGAACCACTAGACAGTAGTTTCCTCTAATACCATCATGTATCACCTGTGGAACCTGGGAAAAATTACCCCAGAGACATGGTTCTCGACTAGTGCAGGCTTTGACTAACCGACCATCGATCAAAAACCCGAAAGAGCACCAACCATGCTTTTTCCCCCATCCACCCTCCCTTAATGGAGACCATCCAGCTTGGAGTTGCAAATTGCAACATGCCAATCTTCTAACAGTATTGACTTGCTCTGCTCTCACCAAGATTGCGGCCCATTCAAGAGAACCACCTCTAAAGGAGCCTAAGAACAATCTCTCTTGCTCTCACTCTCCCTCACACACAAAAGCACGAGAAAAAGCAAACAAAGGAAAACAGGGATTTCACAGAAACAAACCTGGAGGGGGAGGCGCAGCACGCCCCATGGCCGCCAAATCAGGACTGACCTTCTGCCCTGCTTCCTCAAGGATGGAAATCAATTCTTTTGCAAATCTCGCATTTGCAGCTGTGAAGAAAGTATATGCTGTCCCTTTTGCCCCTGCCCTTCCAGTACGACCAATGCGGTGGACATAATCCTCAAGTGAGCCAGGAAAATCATAATTGATCACGTACTTCACATCCTTTACATCTGCAAGGTAGAAGGAAACAATAAGCTACTGCTCATCTAAGGGCAACCTACCTATCACAGCAAGATCATGAAGAAAAGCACAGCAACATACACATCCTATTGGAAGACTTAACTATCGAATGATTGTGATCTGTAATTATGTGCCATTATCTCCACAATAGAAAGAAAAAAGGAAAAAGACGAGCGAATATGAAAGTAATGCTAAACAGACAGATGCATGTATAAGTGGTAAACAAAGATGGCATCCCTGAGACAAACAAAAGGAGAGCATTTGAGAAAATTACTAGTGAAAAATAGCACTCAAGATAAAGAGAAGAGATTAAAGTCAAATAGTTAACACAAAGATGCTCACTAAAGTGGGAATCATTTAATGTGAAAGTGCCTTCACCGCATCAACTAGGTCAAAAGCACCAGAGTATGCAAAGCTAAATTGAAGATATCCATGCATTGTAAAATAATGTCCATGCCGCAACCAAATACTTGCAAATCAGAAACAACCAACAAAGTGTAGGGAACAAACAGCTACTGTAGATTCAGGTGCCATGGTAACTCTTGCATTAAGTATTGAACAAGAACACGAACCTAGACCACGTGCAGCGACATCGGTTGCAGTCATTATAGGACTTTTGCCTGCTTTGAACTCAGAGAGGACCCAATCCCTTTCTGCTTGACTTTTATCCCCATGGATTGAGAGAGCTGGCCAACCATCCATACGCAGTTGCCGAGTTATCTGATCACACCCTTTCTTTGTATCCATGAAGATAAGTATTCGGCTACCATCCATAATATCCTCCAGCAAATTTACCAATCTGTGTACAGGACATATAGCTTTTGCATCAATCAATCTTAGATGATGTAATCAAGTACATAGAGAATATTAACTTGAAAATTGCATCCCCTACTTGTTATATTTTTTATTTTCAGGGACAATATCAACGATCTGGCGTATTGCATGGTTGGCCTTCAAATCTTCAGAACCTATTATCACCTGTGAAGGGGAAAAAGAGTGGGACGTTCAATCCAACTAAACTGGACAACCCGAAAAAAAGGGGACGGGATAAGATCGTCGTAACCATCTGGTATCAAGTGACCGACTATTTCACCACCGTTCCGATTGGAATATTGATTGAGGTATGCCTTATTAGGTGATGCAGTTACATTGCACTGAACATGTGCTGAGAAATCTCACCTTGTAGGCATTATAGAGGAACTGCCTAGCTAATTGTTCGACCTCCTTTGGCCAGGTAGCACTCCAATACAAAGTCTGACGATCTGGGCGAATCTGCATGAATGGCAAAACCAATAAAACAACATCATAGTATTAGTCTCTGTGCAGGCGTTTGTATGTGCCATCATGCCTGAAGAAGGCGAAGAGTAAGATTATGCAAAATACAAGACTAAGTGGCTCCAGAAAGAGATGAAAATCTACGGAGAAATTAAAGATACACTCCCAAAAATAGTGACAGAAGATAAACCTGCGAAACAATTTTCCTTATTTGAGGCTCGAATCCCATGTCTAGCATCCGATCAGCTTCATCCAACACAAGGTAGGTTACTCTTCTCAGGTTGGTATGATGCGACTCCAGCATATCAATCAACCTTCCTGGTGTAGCAATCACTATTTCAACGCCTGTGGCACAGATGACAAGTGACAAGTAGAATTACTTTTAGGATATAACAGACTCCCGCACTTGGAAAATGGGGAAAAAGAGAACAAATTTTAAATTCAATTACCAAAGGATGTAAAGTTTATGAAAGCCGCGCCTCTTCAGATCAGCATAACTTTAATCTAATCACCACCTACCTTTCTGGAGATCACGCACTTGAGGTCCCTTCGGAACCCCACCGTATATGCATGTATTTTTTATCCTTGATGATGCACCGAATTTTGTAGCTTCCTGCTGTATTTGAACAGCCAGTTCACGAGTTGGGGCCAACACTAACACAATGGGGCCATCTCCTGGGGCTGATAAGAAAGAGAAGTTACATGAGTCAGGTTGATGATCAAAGAGGGTTAACGAAACAGAAGTCTTCAGTAAAATACTCACCCAAAATTGGTTGCGCATTAACATGGACAATCGCAGGCAATAGGTAGGCAATTGTCTTTCCCGACCCTGTTTCCGCGATACCAATTAGGTCACGCCCCTTAAGGGCCATTGGCCATCCTTGAGATTGAATTGGTGTAGGTTCAACAAAGCCAGCTTTTGCAATTTCTTGCATGACATAATCTGGAGTATATGTGCAGAAAGTAGCAATTAAAAGGCTGTACCAAGTCTTTCTAAGCAAGAGATTGCTTGATAAAACAATCAAGTGCTTCAATGGGACTTGAAAGATGAAGAATGGAACAGCTCAGGGAAGCCCTGTATTCTCTCCTTTAATGTCATCAATGAATAAAAGAGAATTTCTCAATGCCCAAAAAAGTTTTGCAAACAGCACATTGAGACCAGAGACAGCACCAGGACACTGTCCATAATGTATATTTCAACCAACTATATTGACTTTTTTAGAATAATTTGCTATGAAAGAGATCTCAAATCAACAATTGGACCAATCCAGTGTTCATTTTGAAAGTATTAACGAATAGATGAGAAAAAAAACATTTCACTGTTTCTCCTTCAAACCAATTCTGAAATTCTCCATGGAACATAAAATAAAAGTTATGCAAACAATCCACTGAATTAGAAGGTTCACTAATAATATGGATGCTTTGCCCCATGCTCCCTCTCCCCCTTCTTTCTTCCACAAAAAAAAAAAAAAATCTAAAAGCTCTATGCTAACATTAAAAAAACCCTCCGATGAATTCGTGTGATCAATTGTCAAAGAAATCCAAATTTTAGACAACTAAGAAAACTTACCTGGAAAGCCAACATCTTCAAAACTTTTAACAGGCTTTGGGACATCCTTGCCTTCCACAGTAATCTCCCTTCTTTTCCTGTAATCCTCGACATCTTTATCCGACATAGCAGCCACCGACGGTGACTCGACATAGAAGTTCTTCTCGAAAGGAGTCAAACCATCCAAATCCGTCCTCCTTGGCGACTCAACACCATCGTAATCCTTTCTACCTGCTGAAGACCGGACTGGGGCACCATAGCTGGAAGCTCCGCCAAACCCAGAATCACTACAAAAAGGAAGACAACCACGGTAAACAAATGTCTGTCACAACATCTGATTAATTAACTTGGCGTTATAGCCTACTAAAATCCTACTACAATAAGCGTAAGCTAAAGCAACCAGTTCATTAATCAATCACGGTCTTCAAAAGGGCTCGAAAATCATACCAAAGATAAAAAATTCAGTAAGGCTATGTAAAGATCATAGAAGTGCAATTCACTATCCCCAAAAAGTACACTCCAATAGACTGTTAAATAGAACAGTTCAATCGCGGCGCGGCGTCGACGGGAGCAAAGTTCGAAAAGCAAACAGCACAGTAGCTAACCATGACCATTCACTGCTAAGCGAGTTCAACTCCACGGGGGACCGACAGTCGCCCAAGCCACGGAACAAAGTCAAACCACAGCTACGCGCGGGACAGAGCTCAGCGGCAACTCCTCGTCAAGTCAAAATCCGCTACCCGCCGGCCGGCGGGCGAGCGAGCGAGCGAGGGCACGAAAGGGCGAACCCCAATGCAGGGAAAAAAACGGGGAGTGGGGAAGCGACTCAATCGTTACCTTCTCCGGTCGCGGTAGGAGGTGGGGTCGCCGGACCGGCCGTCGTGGCGGCTCATGCTGGCGTCGCAATCGGAGGCGGCGGCGGCGGCGTCCGCCGGACGGAGGGCGGCGGTGGGATTAGGGTTTCGGCGAAGAGGATTTTTCCGGAGAGAGAGGGAAGCGAAATGGAAGAAATCAGAGCTGAGTGTGCAGAAGAAGAAGCAGAAGAAGAAGAAGAAGATGAAGAAGTCCCCCCCCACCTCCAAAGTCCGATCGTTGGGGCTCGAAGGAGCCTGATGTCTCAAAATTTATCATTTCAACCTAAAAAACATAAAATAAAAAGGTAGGACCTATGTAAGCTAAAAATGATAATTTCTTTTTCACCAAAAATTTAGATTATTAAAATCACACGAAATTATGAAAAAAAATTATATGTGAAATTCGATACTTGAGGTTGTGAAAGTTTCGGGAGTTTCGAATTAAAAAAAAAGGGGTAAAAGTGCATGAATCGTGAGATTTTGATTGTATAAGATTGCAAGTCAATTCAATGAACTCGTACCGATAATTGCATGGAATGAAGATTCATTCGAAAATGAGTTGAGGATAACCCACTTCCCCTCGAGATACATCTTACCAAGGTGATCACTCCAAAATCCCTGAATAAACAAAAAAGTTTTTTTGGTCAAAACATAAACAACATTTCTTAGAGAAATGGACACCGTGCTAGGTTAGATGGTTGGGCATAGAAGGAAAATGTAATAATAGCTAGTTATTCGATAGAGTATATTAATAATGTTAACTGCTTCTTGATAAACGATAAGACATATCATTTGTCTTGTTATTATCTTTTAATTATTTTATGTTGGGTTAATATTACGAAAAATTTTAAATTGGTACACCTGTTTTAACCATTAAAAACCTAAAATTGATACACTTATAATAATTTTACACTCCGTTAAATTGGATTAATACCATAAAAAATCACAAATTGATAAATCTGAAAACCCTAAACTGGCATACCCATCAACTGCCACATGTCATTCAACTTAGAAATTTGACAATAAAATTTAACATGGGGTAAATTCATTACAGTTATACCGGTTTGGGGTTTAAAATTAGTTCGTGATAAATTTGTTACATATGTACCAGTTTGAGTTTTTTTGTGATAATTATCCTATTACTAATATATAAAATTTTAGGATGTCGTTATTTCGTCGGAAAATCGAGAACTTAAAAAAAAGCATTTTCTTCCCACAGAATTATTATTCAACAAAACTTTTCTGAGCAATTCGAGTAATAAGAAATTTCATGAGTATTTTTGCCGACTAAAAAATTCCAAATCCCTCTCCCAAAAAAAAATAAAAAATAAATTCCAAATCCGGTTTTCGTCGATTTCTAGAAAAGGAAACGTCCCTGCTTCTCAGGGCAAAAAGGACGCAGCTTAACGCAGCTTTTTCAACACAACGGCGTCGTCGTCTTCCTCTTCCTCTTCCTCTTCCTCTTCCTCGAGCTAGGGTTCCGCATCGGCTGCTTCCCATCTCCTCCTCTGCCTGCTCTCTCCATCTCCATCTCCATCTGCATCTGCATCTTCCGTTTCTCTCAGTTCCTTCGATCCTCCATGCGGAACGCGCGCGCTCGAGGTCGCGAATCGTAGGCTGACGAGCGATCGTGGTTAACCCCGAGCGAGAGCATGTCGTGCAGAACGGAGAGACACTCGATTGCCTCGCCGTTCTGATTCGTCGGGCGCTATCGACGAAGGGGAAAGGAAATTGTTTGCAGGTCGGAAAAATGGCGGGGAGGAATCGCGTGTTGCGCGAGCCGTTCAATGGCCGGCGCGGCTACCCTCCCGAAGGCCCTTACGTCCGCGGCCCGCCTATGCCCCGACCGCCGCCCCCTCCCGCGTTGCTGGAGGAGGAGCTCGAGATGCAGCACGCCGAGCTGCGGAGGGTGCTGGGGGATAACCGCAGGCTGGTCGAGGATCGGATTGCGCTGCAGCGGGAGCTCGGCGCCGCCAAGGAGGAGCTCCATCGGATGAACCTCGTCATCGGGGATATTCGCGCGGAACACGAAATTCACTCGAGGGAGTTCATGGAGAAAGGTTTGAAGCTCGAAGCCGATCTTCGCGCGGCCGAGCCTTTGAAGAAGGAAGCTGCGCAGCTCCGCTCCGAAGTTCAGAAGCTGAATAACATGAAGCAGGACCTTGCTGGGCAAGTTCAAAGTCTGACGCAGGACGTTGGTAGATTGAAGGCTGAAAATAAGCAGATTTCTCTCCTGAGGGCGGAAATTGATGGTCTCAACCAGGAGCTCATGCATGCTAGGTTTGTATGCCTTCACTTATGGCGTTCTGGCTGAAACCTACTCTAATATGCAGTATATGGCTTGAAGTTCATTTGCTAGTTCGAACTTTGTCAGATAGATGTTCTCGCTCAGGGTATTGAAAGAAGAATTTTTTTCTGTAGATCTACTATCGAGTATGAGCGGAAAGCAAATATTGAATTGGTGGAACAAAGACAGGCAATGGAGAATAATTTGGTTTCTATGGCGCGGGAGGTCGAGAAGTTGCGCGCCGAACTCGCTGCTGGTGATGTCAGATCATGGGGTGCTGGTATGGCATCCTTCCCTCCCTTTTTAGCGTCTTCTTAGATATGAAAACGTTTTTCCTTGGCATAATTGCAATTATCTATGAATTAAAAAGTGTCCTGACAAAGTCAATTTCGCGCATTCCTTCTGTGTACTGCCACTTCTGCTTTGCTGTTAGGTTTTAGTAGGACTATGATGCTGGAAATTTTCTCGTGGGCTTACTGTTGACTATTGATTTCGTGTATTTTTATAACATAATCCAACCATCTCAGTTTGTGGTGTTTTCAGGTGGAGTACCATACGGGAGGAAATTTAATACTGGGGAAGGGAGTTTCGCTGCACCATACGGGGATGGCTATGGTGTTCATCTGGTTTGTGTCCAATAAATTGTCATTGCCCCATACATAATTGAACTTGTAAAAATTACCTTGCGGATATGGACATGAAATTTCTGCATTTTGTAGAGTTAAAATGTTGATACTTATATTTGCATCATTTAACATACCGTCCCTGTGTTTGGCAGGGTTCTGGTAATGGTCCTCTTTATGGTCCTGGATCTGCTTCAAGGGGAGGACATGACAAGCCTCGCATTAATCGTCGTTGAGAACTGGATGGTGATTGTTGTGACTGAATATGCATGACATGGCTTTTGCTGAGCTGTTGAATGAGAAAACGGGAGGGAAGGCACAAATTTATCAATTGGCACACCACATCAGTAGTCTATTATCTGAATGCATCGTTAGTATCTTTAACTTCTTATCTAGGAATCTCAAGTTACTGTTTTATAGTCTCAAAGGACATCAGTTATTGTTTCTCTATGTGTGTTTATGAGATAAATATGAATTCTCTAGAATCCATGTAAACTCTTAATAATCGTTGAGTTTTAATGTTGCCTTTTTATTTTAAACGTTGGATATGCATTTTGGGTCTTTATGTACTACTTTTGCAGTGGAGGTCTAAGGTCTGATAAGCTGTGTATTTTGCAAACTTGTTAGCTTTGAAAGTCTTATTGGTTGGTTGGTTTCTATCGGGAGCTTGTGTCTCGCAACTCAGTTGAGTGGGGTGTGTATCTAGGTTGCTGGATTTGGACATCCATAAGAAAAGGTGTCACAGAAATCGAAAGCTGTTTCGTCCGATAATATACCACTAAGTTGATAAGGAAGGAGGCAAAGTTTTCTCACAAAAAGGCATTATTGTTGAAGATGCTGCTATCAGGGTCTCTGAAGATTCAAAATTTTCTTGGAGACCCATTTGTGGTCTTATTGGGGATTTATCCATTTAATTGCATGCTTAACCAGCTAACAGTCTGACTTGTATCTAAAGAGGAGGACTTTAGCTCTCTGAGGCGAGGTTTATCTTGCGATGAAGTGCGTGCGGTCAATTAGCCAATAAGTTCTGGAGATTTGCAGGTTAAGAATGGCTTCAAGCGCCATTCTGTGCATGATATAAGCATAAAAGCTTTTGGGATGTGCTTGTACCTGAATTGAACTTTTTAAGGGAGTTTATTTGGAATTCTGGTGCTAGTAGCAGAGATGCTTTGCAGTTGAAAATTCTGATAGTTCGGTGTTTTATCAAATGGTATCATTGTTAGGAGATGCATCTCTGCATCTTTAATGCAAGGTTTGCACTAGCGGTTTACGGGTATGAGGTCACGGTGTGAACTTTTTCCCATTTGGTAAGACACAAATGGAAAGGTTAGAACATGTTAAAGTGAAAGAACATGTCGAGGTCTCTTGCCTTGATTTGAAGTGTTTTTTCTCTGGGACCATTTTAGGTAGCTATTGGAGAATGCTTGGTGCACATTGGTGCATAGCATGCTTACTGGAGATGACTGTATTATGATTGACTATAGTGCATAAGTTGTTCACTTGTTTATTTGTAATTTCTACCAAAAGGAAGCTTAGTAAGCTCCAATTGAAGTTGGTACAAGAAGGGGTGGTGTCCCATTAAGCATGCGAACATTTTGGTACTTAAGTTGTTGGGGTTGTGTTGAATTCCTAATAGATTCGAGTGCTGCTCCTTCGGTCAACTCATCTTTATTTGCATGAAGTTGGCTCGGATGCTTGCTGGGAACTGGCACATTTTGAGTTTTTCTTGCCTCATTTTGTCCATTGGAGATGGTGAAATAGATGATATCAACCTTTCTAGGCTAACACTTTCCACTGGAGATGTTGAAGAGCAATGGTCCAGGTTTCTCGTTAGGATTTCTGCTAGAGTTAGTTTTTTTTTTGCTAGAGTTAGTTAATAGTGGGCTAAGGTGGAGTTGCGAGAGTTCTACTTAGAGAAGTGAAGCTGGAGCATGCTATGATCAGATGGGAGAAACAGGCAAGGATGGTCCGATACCCTGTGTACGCTTCTGTGCATGCTGAGCAGAGGAGGAGCTTCCGTTGTTGATTTTGGAACTCTGGATACTCGAGAAGAGCATCTAATGCCATTATGATCCCCTTAGAATGTTTGGGCCACATTAATTGTGGCACACCCATCTGATTTGATTGCACCAATATTCTTGTTCTTTCTTTTTCCCAAGACTCTACCCCGGCATATCAAAAGTTGCTTCTTTGTGGATTGAGGTGAACCTGCATTATCTTCCAAAATGCTACAAACTGGATTGGGTTCCACCTCCTATAGGCAAGTATTCTCTTTCGAACGTGGATGCCACAGATGGATTTCATACCCTAATGTTTTCAGATGATTTATGTTAGCTATTCATCTGCTGCTGCTTTGTCATCCTGTGAGCTGTGTAATCCATTCTGTTTTTTTGGTTGTGCGCCATATTTGATGTGCTCCTGCTGGTCAGTTTTGTCATTCTACCAATGTTTCAAAGACATATGGGCAGAAATTAGGAGCTTTCAAGATTGCATTTCCTTGTAGGATGGTGCTTGGAAGGTAGTTTGGGAGTCATACATTTTGGAATGCTCTCAAGATGTTGTTGCTGGTCCTTTAGGCATATAGATTTTAATTTTTAAATTTGGCTTTCAGCAAATAGACTCAATAGTTTTCTTGTTTGAATAGCCTCGAGACTGTAAATGATGCGCAGAACTGCGTTAGAAATTCTTTCAGTGTCATCACTGCAATGCTGAAATATCCTCTGCCTCAGCACTTAATATTTGGCAATAAATGGAGGCCCTTGAGTGATTAATAAATATTATAGTGGATGGTGCACATTTGTGGAACTTTCAAATAGTTCTCCATGATTATCTTTGGGAAGGAATTGTTCGTAATCTGGCAGAAGCAAGGCTTTTCTTTTGGCCAGCAGCCAGAAGCAAGATGAATAGAATCATTTATGTAGTAGGGTATGGCTTTAGGTTGAAACAGGTGATGCTCCTTTGGTTCTCGATATGGGCTTTCAATTTTTATCGAGCAGATTGCATTGAAAATTGCTTCCAGCTACGAGGACAAAATATCTAGGGCTCCAATAATTCTAGACTATATATGCCCATCTTTTGTAAATATGTTTCTGGCGGATTCACCATTTGCAGCAGCATTTTTAGTAGTGATAGGTGTCATGTCACTTTTTTCCCTAGATCTGAGCAATGGAGCCTCATGTAATTCTTGATTTGTGTTTGGAACCTTAGGAGAACAAGAGTTTTGTTGCATTTAGGAACTTGCCTACAGGTGCTGCTTAGTCTTTCCCTAAATTAGTTTGATAAAGTTTCTTCCAGAAGCTTCACTTCTCTTGTGGGTGAAACAGCATCTCGTGACTGTCTCGTCCCTCTACTGAGCAAGATTGTTGCCTTTTTGGTGAGCATCAGCTTGTAGATGTTAAGTATTGCATTCTAAGTATATCAGAAGATTTGTCCCTTTCGGTACGGCTACTAGTTTCAGTATAAAAATGAATGTGATCAGTTAGATCAAGCTGCATGGTTTCATCGTTTCAGTCTCTTCGAGGGAACTAAGGACTGCTGTTATCGGGCTTTTGGAACAGTCTTGTGAGCTTGTGGCTAAATGTTTGGACAAATAAATTTATAATGCGGATAGTCTGGATGTCCCCTCATCCCATTGACACTATCAGAAGAATAGATTTATCATGTGAATAGTCTGGATGCCCCCTCATCCCATCGGCACTTTCTGATGGTGTATCTTTAGAAATGAAAGGTTATCAAGTTTTTTATTTTTATTTTTTTTTGGTAGATACTTTACTGTGCAATACTGAAAATCGTTTTGGTTTGATTATGAGAAGTGAAGTTTCACTCATTGCAATTGGAAGCATTAGCTCAGTGGCCTGTGGTCCAGGGACAACTATCTATATAAAAGCTTGGAAGCAGGGGCAGTTTTTATCTTTGTTTGGCAAAAGCATTGTACTTTACTACTGCTATCACCAGTAATACAAGCACACAAACACCTCACTTAAGCAACATCTTAAAGCTACTGCAGTACCTGAATTAATTGTTCCAATTCAGGCTTGGGTTGTTAGATCACTCTGTAATTACAATTTTGTACATGGTCTCTACATTCGATTTCTTTTTGTTGATAATTTCTTCTTTGGGTGATATATATATCGGATATTTCAGTGATAGTGGACATGCTAATGATCTATTTGCCTTATTTCTCCTAAAACTGTCTTCCGCATATTTGCAGATGGAGAAATTTTCTTGCGATGCCCGACTTGGAGGATGTCACATTTTTCTGCTGGGAGCCAAATGGGTTGGATGTCCATCTGATGACTATAGGTCAGACCTGAACCAACTGAATTTGTGATAATTCATTTTCACTATAGGTGCATCATTTATGATAATAGGAAAATCCTATCTGATCTACAACCAGAAAGAAGTTGGTTAATGGGGGATGCCAATTTTTCAATATATCCTCTATCCTCTGGAGCAGTGAAACTAGAAACATTTTTTTGGCGACCCTCCCTCCCTCTCTTTCGCTCTCCCGATACGCATGGAAGATAGATGAGTTTAGCCCGAATGTGTGATGAAGACATTCCTATTATGATAATTTGCATTATTTAACTCGAATCTGTATGACATCATTTGATGCCTTTCCTTAGCATCTCAAATATGCTCCTATAGTTGCTATACACTAATTACCTTGGTTCTTTTTTGAAATTGTCACCTAAGACGAAGTTCTATGGCTGATACCTTTTTGGTGCCTTTACTCATTATCTGTCTTCTTGTCAGAGTTGATATGTGGCAATTTCAAAGATTTGTCATCTTCATGCATACTGATGTCCATTTTGTTTGCTATCTTTTCTAAGTCCAGATTTTTTTTTTCTTGCTCAGCATAGTGGAAGAGTTCGTTGGGACACCATTGCTCTGCTCATAGACTGCATACGCACTTAAAAAGTTGTTCATACTAGCGAGGGCATCATACATTCAGATTCTTCACGGGCGAAATTGCCACATGAATAATGGTAGGATTGGGGCACAATAAGGTGTGCCTCCAGGGAGGCGGTTTGATGAGGTGATGTTTTTGGTCTTCGTTGCGAGATTGCAGCGACTGTGTTTGGCCGATGCTTCCTCCTTGGTCAGTCTATTTGTTCTTATTTTTCATATCGGAGAAATTCAGGACTTGAAACTGTAAGAGGAATTACTCATACGTTATAAAGGTGGCTACATGAGAATAAGTAATGAAATATATAGTGATTTGCTCTCTAGGAGAGGAGTCGAAACGTGTCTATTTTGTGTTCCCTCAGAGTAACAAGACGAAATCCGGTATCATGTTGGGAGCGAGAAATTCTCGTACTGCTATTCAGCTCTGCAAAGTGTCAGGTACCAATCTTCATCACGTAAACTATGGAGTCTCGAGGTACTTTGGGGCAATCAAATATTGTATTGTCTAGAATTGCATTGTCCGTAGAAACAAAAGGGAAGAGTAGGAATGTCGAAGAGATGTTTGTTAACCCCATGGTTGTGCCGTGTGGGGGCTGTTGCTGTTGAGTGATAAAGAGGCAATGAGGTTGGTCGAATGTGACGGGTGATACAAGATAAGTTCAGCCATATGAAGGATTTTATATGATTTAGGACAAAGTATAAGCCGAGTTATGTTATATAGTGAGGCCGGCTTCTAGAAATGCATGAGCCATGGACCGACGTCGCAGAAATCATCTGGGATTTGGTCTAAAGCTAAAATTGCACTATGGCTTAGAATTTTCTTCGAGTGCAACAACTCGACCCGATTAATTTTACCACCAATACTATCTGACCTACTTATCCGTTGCTCAGAAAATCGGACAACGAAGCCCCACCATCGGTGTCATTTCTTTTCCTCTCTAGAAACAATGAACATGTGAATCCTTTATTCAACGGTATGTATGTACAATGTTTACGTTTCTCCCTATTTTCCTGTTCATGTCGTGAGTATAGGTGGAAGAAATATCGATCGCTTTCCTCTTACCAGAGTTTTGGTGTCTGGAAAGTGGCCGTCGCCGTCGACCAAGTCCTCGACACAGCCATCTTGCTTTACGTCGATAGGGTACTTGACCAGGTGAACACCTTCCATGTCCACCACTTCTTCGCTGCTATATATTTCCCACATTTCCTCTCCGATGAAGCGCATCCTCTCCACGCATTTCAAAGTCTGAGGTTCTTGAAACATCTCTTCGGCTTGCCTAGTGTGCTCGTACCAAAGTGACATACGGTACGCATGTATTTCTCCACGAGCCATCTGGTTTTCGCCATCTTTCATCTGGTAACACCCGATGGCGATCTCTGTGTCTCTTTGGCCATCCATCGATCTCTGGTTTACATTTGCGGATCCGATCAAGATGTATGTATCATCCACTGCAAGATACAGCACCATCTCCAGAGTTTAAGATAGACATTTGCAGTTTAGCAAAAGCATGGTTATTCAGCTAACTTTTCTCTATAAAGATCATGCTTTGAAATCACAAATCATAATGATATAAGCAATTATATTTTTTCTAAGAGGAGGTCATTGATTTAATAGTTGCCAAAAAGTTCAAATAATAATAAGTTTAAGAAGAATTATCAGATGAATGTCTAGTGATACCTATCATGAGCTTGGAATGAACATAAACCATGAACCTCCTATGCTTCTGAGCATTCCAATACTGCGTCGCAGGTTGCGGAGGAGACTGAGGAGTCCACTCGCCTTTAACTTCCTCTTCTCTGTTTGCGAGGCAGAAGAAGTTCAAATAATCTCTCGGGTGCCCTGGTTCGCCGCTTTCTCGTATCGCTTCCCCGATCAACTTATACATCATTGCCATGGTTTGCCTGGTCCAATGTAATATGTCCTGCACCGGTTCGCTTTCGGGCACTCCTTCCGGCCACATCGGTATCACTATGTATACGGCAAATCTCTCTTTTGCTTTGATTTTATTCGCCACCTTTAGAGCAATTTCGATCGGGATTAGATTTGCGCAACCACTGTGAGTGTCTCTCTCCCACAGATGGCATCCGCCTATAAAGTACTGGTTCTCGATGTATATAAACCTCTCGGCGCGCCTAATTGCTTCGACATAAGCTTCATGGATGCTTTTCTCCACAGTAAGAGTTCTGAACATTTGGCTAGCCGATACGTGGTCGATTGACCGGAAGATTTGCACATTCCAATCCCGTTCGGCTGAAATGCTGTAAGCAGTTTCTGGAGCCAGATTTGCTGTGGAAGTGGCGGGAACTAACAGAGAAGGGTCGCATTGCTTGGTCCATCGCTGCTCGAAATTGGTCAGCACATCCCAAGCAGCCTCGCCCATGATACGCGCATGAGTGTCGTGCCACGGTGCCCTCGGCCCGCCTTTTTGAAGGTTAGCTCCTGAAATATTTGTTTGGTAAAAATCTTGACCGTGGAGCTCCGTATTGAGTGTGCGAAACAAAGAATGTTCTTCCGTATCAAATCGGCCAGCACAGAGGTCTACTCCCCCAAGAAAACTCACAAGCTCTCGGTCGCTTGGATTATTATGCATCGGCGCGTCGACTGTGATAGTCTTCTGGTGGTGAGTAAACAAAGTCGGGAAGTTGTAGTTTAATCTAGGGCATAATCTGCACACAACTTTGGTGTGCCTAAAGTAATCGCGGACGTCCTCATCATGAGTGTTCATTATTCCCATGTTCTTGATTATGGGCAGTGACGTTGTATCGTCCCAAAGCATAATTCTCACTGCTACACCTTCCTCGGCCTTTCGCTTCAGCAATTCACCTACACTAACTCCAAAAGCATGTGGAATGCTCGTTTCCGGGTTGCGGACCTGCAGAAGAAAAATGTCAAACTTCTGAAAAATGCAGGGCACGAGGTGGTGTTCTATGTTTCCACTTACCAGAACCATGTTTGGATTGAGAGACCAGCATGCAATGTAAATCAGATGTTTTGCACCTTCAATGGCCTCGAACATATCCTCCCAGAGCCTCCTCGGAGTCCAGCAGAAGCCTAATGGAGGGTGGAACCCGGAGAGATGATGAGCGTCTTGATAAAGGGTGACTTGGCAGTTCGATCTCTGAGGAAATGTGGCATTCCGAAGGCCGCCGAATTTGCCGTTGGCGAGTATCTTCGACCAGCTCGGCTCTATCTCTGCTGGTTTGAACCATAGGATTAGCTGAAGTTTCAATTTCTCATTCAGCTGACCGTTTTCCATCTGAAGAGGGAAAAACCCATGAACCAAACTAGCTTCATTTAGTAACTGATCTCCCCGGATATGGATCTTTCCCAGGATTACACAACTTGCTTTCATCATGATAGTGATGGCTGAATCGAATGGATGAGCACAGAGGATCTGAAACGTTTGATTCCATATGCGATCACGTTCTTGGCTAGTCTTGGCAACTGTTTCGTTGTTTATCTGGATCGTAACATAGACGGGCTTTCCATATGCTAATATGCACTGCAAGATTAAAATGAAACGACGATCACTTAGCTCAGGATCAAACATACATCTCTCCAACCAAAAAAAAACAACACAATGATCACAACACACAAACAAAACTAGAAATTCTTGTGGGTGTCACGGACAAATTCTTCCAATCCAACTGTTTAATTTGGATATCTGCAGATGATAATGCAATTCAATCTAAGTTGTAGCTCCGATCACTATGAACATTTGGGCAAAAGAATCTGACCACCACCTTTGTCTTGCACATCAACAACAATCCTCAGTACTCCAACTGAAGAGAAGGAAGAGCTTGTGCACAAGCTATGAGGCTATGTGGGGAGTCATCAAGAATGTGGCAAAAGAAAAAAAAAATTAGGCTTGTATTGCGCAGCCATCTGAGATATTCATTTTTAGTTGGTCATAACGAGTTCTCGACTAGGCGCTCGGTTAGATGCGATGGATTTCACGCTCAAATCATATCGTTTCGCACCTCAGCATAACTTCAGGGACCCCGTCAGCTGCTCCACGGTTGTAGCTTTTACGAGGTACACGTGAAGGATACCGGCTTATACGTCGGGATTTATACAGCAGAAGTTCGGATGCTATGAGGATCACCATTTGTCATGGGAGCAATGCGATTGGATACGCGATATACTTACGCTGAGTGGGAAAAGTGGTGTATAAGTTGTCGCATGGAAGATGGTAGCTTCCAACGTCCCATGAAGAAGCCTGTTCTTTCCCTCCATTATTCCTCAGGGCCTTCAAAATTGAGAGAGAGAGAGAGAGAGAGAGAGAGAGAGAGAGAGAGAGGTTGATTTCGGTTTGACGCTGGACATGAGAAAGAAAATGTTGCAAAAATGGGATTTATATATACACAAAGTCAGGTGGAGAGATTGCTGTTGCGGTTTAAGAAGCAAAGAAGAGGAAGAACGTAATGGAGTTGAAGCGAGACAGACGTGAAAGAAATCGTCCTGTTTCTTTCTATATTTTCTTTGGAGGCAAACCCCACACACAAAAGCTTCATCGTATGACGAAGTCTTCGCTTCAAGTCGAAGTTTCTTAAGCCCAATTCGAACCCTTTCTTCGATACAGAAAGATGGGCATACCGTATACCACGTCAACTAAGAAATTGTTGACGTTGACCAGCAAAGATTCAAGAATATGCTTCAGGACAAACGACGATATCCTGCATCGGTATACCGTATACCACGTTTTTTAAAACTATCGAAGGCTTGCTCATATCCAGATCTGCACGATTTCTGGAAATTTGCTTTGTCTTATTGGGAAGGCGTGTAATTTATGTAGGTTCCATGGAAGAAAATAAAACACCGAACGAAGCTTCTTTAATCAGCCGAAATGTTTTCGTGATTAGAAAGCTCAAATGCATGATTATTACGTCATAATCATTTATCTTATTTTCCTATAATTAAGTATTTCCTACCTTTTCTATCTTATGATTAATATCAGAATGATTATCATTTACATTCACGACAATTTAGCTAACAATATCAATCACATGGGTCAGCTCAGGGGCTTGTGTCACGGGCTAGAGAAATGGATCGCTTTCAAGGGTTTCTGAACAATGGACCATAACTGATCCATGAACGAACGGGCGGACCTCGAGAAGTCCAAGTCCTAGAGTTTTCTTGCATATTCTAGAATATTTCTGGAGGCGGGCAATATTGTAATTATACACTCCTATTATAAATAAAGGTAGATAGTAGTTTGGAAGACGCAATCTCCACCGTTAAATCGAGGAGAGATTTACGGATACGACTGAGCCTGTACTTGTATATAAAGGAGTCTCCTCCCTCTCAATTGCATCTCGTTCTCATAAGTGAAATACAATCCCAAGCTTCTTTCCTGATCTTCTCTAGAGTTTCCCTCTCTACGATATAGCGTACTTGGGAAAAAGTAAACATAAATTATTCTATAATTAGGAAGCTAATTAAGTTTAGACATAAATTATTCTATAATTAGGAAGCTAATTAAGTTCGGACGTCCGAGTAATCAAAATTAAGTTATTTGTTTGGAAATTTGGATGAGCTTCAGTTTCCATTCAGGAAACATACTAAATTCATATACCACGAGATACACCACTTCATATTTAGAGCTTTGTTTCAAATCAAACCTCACTAAAAAACTTTTCCCAGTTGAATTTTGTTGGTTTTCTTTTTGCTTTCTGAATTGAAAATTTGTTAATTTGGAAACTCATAATGAGACTATGAACAATCCTTCCACTCGATCGCATCCCATGAGATGTCAAGTTTGATGACTCGATCAGCTTGAAAAAGAAGTTGATCCTAAGCATGTAAGAAAAAATGCCTTACACATCGTGATGCAATATAGAAAGTTCCCTTGGCATCTTGATATTGCTATCTAATCCGTATTCTTCTCAAATGTCCGAGGAATAACAATACTTAACTACATTGATATGAACTACCATTTCCCTCTACAGAAGAGAATTATCTAAGAGTCAAGGGATAAAAGAGGAAGATGTCAAAAAAATTAGCCGGGGATTCATGTGACATAATTGTTTGATGAGACGAGTTCTTTTGCAAATTCATAGAGCATCCCCATATGATCTCCTCCTTGCTCTGTCTCTCTCCCGCAAGGAAATGTTGTGTGCCTGGAGAGAGAGTTTTCTAGTGAACGCTTGCCTGGTTTCATCCAACAGAGGACCACTGTGATATTGCTGCTCATCGTTGATCCTTCTGCTATGACTTCCAACATTGACCCCAGCAATCGACATGTAATTCGCATCTATGTGCATGTCCCCTTCCAGGATTCGAAGCACCTTTCTCACAAAAAAAAATATTAATTCAAAGTCCCTTCGAAACAAACTACTTAAAAAATCTCTCCCGAACCACCAACAATTTCAATATGAGTCAAGCATTAGACTCTAGCAGTAGGATTTGGCATTTCATTGCTTTATCAAAGTCTATACCTGTGACATGCGAGGTCTTGACTCAGGATCCCGTCGAATACATAGGGATGCGGCATGGAGCATGCAATAAACCTCTCGATCTGAAAATTGATCACCCAAGCGAGGGTCGATCAGTTCATGAATTGCATACTCTTCCAACAAAGGGCGTGCCTATAGAGAAGATCAGTTGAATATAGAAAGAGTCATTTCTGAAAATCGAAACTCAGACAAGTTGGGAATAGATTGAAAATTCATTCACATCATACCCACTCTGCCAGACACTGCTGGCCCTTGGGCCGATTAAGATCCACTGCTTTTCTTCCAGTCACCAGCTCCACCAAGACCACCCCAAAGGAATACACATCAGCTTTTTCTGTAATATGGCCTGTTTGTGCATACTCTGGAGCCAAATACCTAACGAAGGGGAAATTAGCCAACTGAATATCTTGCATATACAAATACTCAGTAGCAATGCCGGAAAATAGCGTTAAGACTAACCCAAAAGTTCCAAGTACTCGGGTTTCTACGCCGATATCTCCGTCAGGTTGCCATCTTGCCAGTCCAAAATCACCGACCTAGCAAATGAGGCATTGAGATAAGGATTTTACTAATCCAGAAAAAGTTTGAATAACTATGAGAAGACTTTTCGTACCAGAGGTTCGAAATCATGAGTCACAAGGATGTTGTTCGGCCGCATATCACGGTGGATAATGCAACCCACTCTACATTCTTCATGAAGATACCGTAGTCCTCGAGCAGCTCCAATGGCGATCTTTTGCCGTGATGACCATTCTAATGGCTCTTGATGACAGCCTGATAGCAAAATCCTTTATCAGCTCAGACAATCCAAGTTATTTGTTTAAACTCCATAGTCATGTCTAGTACAGAACTTCCTCTCATGAGGCATAGGTCCGAACTACGTGGTATTTATATTTGAATATTTGATAACATGAACTGAAGTGCATCTACATTCTAGACAAGTACTATATTGATAATTTGAGATATTTCGCCAACGTCTTCAAGATATGGCCTGTAAGAAACATTCTATTTTATTTTATAATTCAACTAAAAATTTTCCATCATGTACTCAAGCTTCGTCTAGACTCTAGATTTGCCGCTGCTAACTTGCACAAGAAGAAAAGAACATTACCATAAAGGTGATAATCCAATGAACCATTGCATATGTACTCATAAACCAACAGCCTTCTACGGTCCTCTATACAAAATCCAATGAGCATAACAACATTTCGGTGCTGAGCGCAGCTCAGGACCTCAACTTCCGAACAGAACTCTGGATCCCCCTGAGAACTAGCCAATTTGTGTTGCTTGACAGCGACCGCCTGGCCATCTGGAAGTACCCCTCTATGCACAGATCCAAAACCTCCCTCTGCCAAGAAATTAGCCTTTGAAAATCCTCCAGTAGCGAGCTCGAGCTCAGCATAGCTAAACCATTTTGGAGGTTTACCAAAAACAGGGGACTTGTGCTGGCATATGGAACACAATGGAGGGGGACCAGGAGGCGCATGTCTGGATACTGAAGTTGCTTCTCTCACATTTCCACTGTATTCCAAATCATTCCCCCAGTTGGGCACTCTAATATCAACTTTTCCATCCTGTTTTGAGAACTTATTTGGCGATGTCTTCACTACTGGCTTATGGGCCTTATTATTAGCTCTTACCCCTACAGAGTCTTCTTGAAAGCATCTCGAGGGTTGACAGTGAGAACTAAGAACTTCTGCCATCCATGAATCAAACCTCAAGCTCGTTGAAGATAGCGATTGTGTTTCGCTTTCTGAGTCTGAAGTACATTGATCAAGCTTATTTGATTCTTCTATGGACATTAATTCTTGTTTTCTTATTTCTCTAGTCATTTCTGAGGTGAAAAATGGGGAAGTTCCAGGATCAGAGCTTGACACTGACGATGTCCCCACTTCAGTATTCGTGAAGACCGTCCCTGATTCCGGACTACTACTTGGAGTCACTGCTGGCCCTCGGATAGAATTTGAAGCATCACTATTGCAACTGTGATGCTTATCCAATGCTCGATCCATCTCAGAAGTCGATGCACCGGCATCTGCAGATTTTTTTTCTAGTGATCCCACCAGATTCAAGCGGAGGACCTTGGGTTGCGACCGCTTCATAACCACAATATTGCACTGTAGCTCCTCCAGGCATTGTTTCTCCTCATGCTTCAGCTGTCTGAAGAAAAACAGCAAGGCCAACAAACTTCTGATATTAAAAGATGTTTTCCATGGTCAAACTTAGGTCAGAAGCCTGACCTGACATAGGTTAGACACTGTCAAAATTGACTAGGTATATGCTCTTTTGACTGGAAGAGTATGAAATAAATAACTTACTTGTCTAATACCACCCAACTAGCTTGAGCTTTCTTGGCCTCCACAGCCACAGCCCCACAAGGAGATCCGGAGACAATCTTTATCTTGACATTTATCTGCGAAAACCGGCGAAAGAAATCACATGACTATGGGAGCAAACATGACTGAAGCTATTATGATCTATATATACGACAACCACCTTATTTGGATCGTAAACATTATGGAGCTGAAGGATCATCTGGGAGCAGGAGTCTGTAATATCACTTTTCTGCTCTTCACTAGATCCTGAGTAATACTTCGAATTACCACTAGCACAATCCCCAGCAAATTTTGGGAAACCCCACAATCTTCTACCTGGTCTCAGCAAGAAAAAGGACTATCAGCAGTTACTCATGATTGTTGATAGGCAACATGTCAGAACCTAAGCATAGGATAAATCAAGTCCAAGAAATTTGTCTTACCTTCAAAACCTTGAAACTAATCATTGTACCAGATTGAATAATCTCAAAATCGAAACCAAAATCCCACTGAACCAAAATTTAGACTGGGTACGTTTTAGGAAGGAAATTAGCTTCCGCAATTTCTTATTGTATAGAACCTCGAATTTTTTAGAGGATGACATGATCATTTCTAAACCAAATTCTTCCATTGCTTGGTCAGAAGGGCCTCCCGAGCAACCGGATGACTATCATGATCGAACGGCAAATAAATTCTAATTCATTAGAAACATGAAATTGTCATGACGCTCAGCCTTGAGGAATAGCAGATTCATTGCTAAATTTCAACCATGGCATCTAGAGTCCAAGATAAAAGCAAGATTTATATTTAAAAGGTTGAGAAGCCTAATCTAACAAGCAGTGAGGATCTTGAAGCTTCATAGTTTAAAGCCATGAAACAAGTAAAAACCGTTTCTCGCTTACTGTCCCTCCTATACGCGATGATATCTTTAATCTCGCTCGCTAGGAGAGGATGTAGAACGAGAATTTGCCATAAAGAAAGGATGTACCTGAATTTGGCTGAGGAACCACAACCAGTAGCAATATGCAATTCCCAGGTCGAACAACATGGGTCAATGCCCACACAAGAGCAGTCTTTGGAATTTCTCTAGATGCCTTAACAGCAACAACCACACTTTCACCCACATCAGTCGTCTCCTTTTCCGGCTTGCCTTGCTTCTGCTGTTGACTCATTGTGTAATGGATTCAAACACCTGCCGTCCCAGAAGATTTTAAGTACCAAGAACTATGAAACCATGGCAGAACCAAAGTTTCTCTCAAGCGCTTCCATATCGGATATACACTCGTCGAAGCTTCTCCATCCGCAGCTCCTCATTGTCTTCGCAAACAATATCTCAAAGAATTATTCATTCGCTGATATTGAAGAAAATGGCTAAGGAATTCCGTGAAGAGCTCAAATCAAGAAATGGGAAGGACTTGGGTACTCGGACTCTGCTTCAAGATTGCACGGAAAATTCACCTTCTCCTTCGTCTACAGAGAGATGACAGAAAAAGCTGCGAAGGCGTAAGACATTGCCCAAATAAGACTCCACAAACTTAAAAAACACCGGCAATTTCTTTTAAGCCTTCGATCACCAGCTCAAGCAAGAACAGCTAAAAGGGTTCTCTTCGGATAGAAACTCAAGCCAAGCGCGACCCCCGAATGACAGAAAACGTCAAGTGGCAGCAACATCGATCAACATTTGGTTTACAAGCGAACCCAGCTTTTCTATCCGCCTCGAACAAAGCTGAATCGAACCCCCGATTGGTCGAGCCTGACTATTATATAAATATATATTATGCACAAAGTACGAGAACAGTGCATGAGCAAGATCCGCCTGCACGATCCGCGAAAGTCGAAATGCTTATCATGGGAAGCAAGCGAGCGAGCGAGCGAGCAGCGCTGCACAGTCAACATGGAAGCAATACAATATTCATCTTCTCCGCTCAGATCCTCGGTCTTCTTACCAATCAGAGCGAAACTTCCAGCGTGGAAAAAACTAATCGAGAAAACGCACGGCAGCCGATGCCCATCACCCGCGAGTCTTCCTGACAAAAACCGTGAAGAAGACGAGGAGGAAGAAGAAGATCCACCAACCACAGCACAGTCGCTAGGATCACGTGGAAGCTAAGTAGAGGCCACGAACACTGGTTCCAAAATGGAGAGAGAGCAGAGAGAAGAAGAAGAAGAAGAAGAAGAAGAAGAAGAAGAAGCCAGGTGAGGATGTAGATGATAGCACAGAGGAAGAAGATACGGGCTGGAGAGAAGAGTGATAGAAGAGCGCGAAAGTTAGAGCAAAGATATCGTTAAACCAGATTGCCCCAATTTTTTTTTTTCGGTTTTTCGTTGGGACTTCTCTCTTTTTCCCATCATTTAAGTGTTATAATTTCGTACGACATTCATTTAAATGTCATAATCGATGAATTGATCACCTTGAGTATCACAGCTTATAACAACATTCAATAAGTGCCCGCAATCTAACGTTGGCATAAAGTTTTTAAGAAATTGTGTGACTTAGATGATCGAAAATAATTAAAGTTACGATGCTAATAATGTCTTTATATCTCTTGCTTTTAATTTTTTTTCCGGTAGAACGGTTAATACGGGTCGCTAGACATTCACGTGTATAATTCTTGAAATTATTCAATCCTTTAAATTCATTATCACTAATGATTTCGAAAAATTAATAGGTGATGGGACCATAATGTTTTTGCTCCTTAATTCGCGATGGGAGAACATTAATGTTGCACGATCAGATACAAAAATTGTCTCTTCGAGTTATTTCTCGTATGAAATTAAAGTAGGAGATTTTGAATTCAAATTCCAATCTCTGTATAAGAGAAGTGTTACAACTTTTAAAGTATTAAATTCAAATTATTGGTAGCAGTCTTATAAAATCTCGAGAATTTGAATCATGGCAATCTAACGCTCAGCAAATCTTTCATTGACGATAGGATTTCTGTTGTCACAGACCACGGTCACCACTCGTGCACCTACTGTAGATAAAGCGAGGCCAATTCAAAAAAAGAAAGAAAAGAAAAACAAGTTAGGATGTAATGATGGCCATGTCGTCATTGCAGCGATCCAGACGGCGTTAAAACAAGATACATGATGATCGATCATGAGCCAGTTTTGTCTCGAGCGCGCCTGTCGTTCCAGAAATGGGCTCAAGTTCCTGTGATTGTGGGGGACCTGAAAATTTCATTGCATGTATTCAACAGATTCAGTAAAAAGATGAAAAGGAATTGCCAAGGGACAGTGAATAATCAATCGGTGTTGACCGCCAGCATTATATGGTCAAAGTTCTCCCGAGCAGGTGCAATTGCGGAGGGAAGGAATTATGTTAACGAGTGCCCGGGAGCGAAGTTGTCGAGCATGTATTATGTAAGGTCGGGTTTGACGGGCCGAACTCGAAAAGGGAATTGCTTTTCGAGACCAACTCATTTTGCTCTTCGAGTCGACCGGGTTTAGACGTAGATCTGTCAAAATGGATCATAAATTCATTTCTTAACTCATGTATGATGAGATGAGTTGAGTTGTAAATGAGTCATATATGTATTTAAACAAAATATGAGTGTTAAATGGATCATATGTGAGTTTACGACACATGATCCATCTTTATGACTCTTTTGCCCTCAATTGATCTCGCATTCACTCACTAACTCATTCCGCCCTATCATATCATCTCAGTTTGGATATGAGTTTTCCTAGGTTGTATTAAATATGGACGTGTTTCAGTAATATAAATTAAGCCATTGGATTTGCATTTCATGGAAATAGATCAAAACGGATTAAATTAGCTTATTTGGTTCGGACTATTTTCGAGCCGACCTGTTCCATTAGTTCGACGGATCTACGTGGGTGGCCCTGTCGGGTTATTTAACTCGGTATGGCGTTTCTAATCTTGATTAATGAATCGGATCGACTCTAAGAAAAGCCTTACGGGCACGGTTTGAGAAAAAAATATCGTCTCATGTTAAAGAAAAAGTTGGGATTTGGATTTTAGGAAAGGCAAGTGTAGGCAAGGTGGAGACAAGGAAAGACCACAGGTGGACAAAAAGGTACCAGCTCTGTTTTTCTTGCTGCAAGGACCGTGATTCCTTTTGGCATCAATTTTAGGGGCCATGGTTCAAAATTCTAATTTCCATGTTCAAAAGTGGGTTGATGGATGGGGACCCATTTGGATCTGATTTTATGCAATAAAGAGGTGATCACTCGATGAGTTTTGGCTGAATTGAGCTTACAGAACGGACTGAATGATGATATTGCCTTGATTTTGCACGTTACAAAGACTATCCATAATATTTTGGGCAGGACCAAGAATTTGGGTCGAACCAAATTGGTACTATGACTAGATAACCTTATTCCAACCCGTCCCAATTGCTCTTCCGCCCTGTTTGATCGGGACGGGCCTAGCGGGCATGCGACAATAACGTGCAACGGACAGTCTCAGGCCCAATTCCACCCTGTCAAGGGCGTAAATAGCGGATTTTAATCCATGGTCATCATGTGCCGGTTATCTAAATGAATCAAACGTGTCTCGTCGAATCAAATCGGTTTGAAGAAACAAACAAATTTTTTTTTTTGGTAAGGAACAAACAAATTATTTGGCTACTAAATACTTTAAAAATGGCAACTTAGATGTCTAAATCACCTTTTGTTTTGAGAAAGCAAACAATTTAAATAGAAACTTTGATCGTTATTGATAAATCGAAAATTATTACTAATATGAACAAGTCACTTTTCGATATTTACACTTTACTATTCTAAGTGAAAAAAATTATTAACTTTTTGAAAGTGTATTGTTGCTTTTAATCTAGAAATGTCTCTAAAGACCATATTATTAACTTCTTATATTAAAGACATTAATCTTCTTATATAAAAAAGTTTGTAACTTATGGAAAAAAGTTACTTCATGTAATATGTTGTAATTATATTAAATAAAAACAACTATGAATGGCACAACGATTGTAATGATGATTTCACAAAGGGTTAATAATACGAAAAATCTCAAATTAGTATATATATGACAAATTTACTCAAAACTAATTTTTTGACCACCAAAAGCTCTAAACTGGTACACTTACGATAAATTTACCTTAAACTAATTTTTATACTTCCAAAAATCTTAAACTAGTACATTTGTGACAACTTTACCCTCCGTTAGTTTCCGTTAAATTAGATTAATATTACAAAAAATTATAAACCGGTACTCTCGTGATAAACGGAGGATAAAACCCAAAATCGGTACATCCGTCAATTGCCGCGTGTCATTTAATAAAGAATTTGACAGTAAAATTTAACGAAAACTAATGGAGGATAAATTTGTTACAGGTGTATCAGTTTGGGATTTTTTGTAATATTAATCCTTTTGTAAATAACCTTTCCTATAGTGGAGCATGTAAATAATTATTGAAAAGCTGCAAACTTTTCTTAAATGACTTCTTAACGGGTATTTTCGGGTGATTTCTTCAATACTCAAATAAAGAAAAAATTTTCTTTTGCAATTATTGTATTCGGAGGACGCCGGTAAATAAAATAATAATAAAACGTACGGCAGGTTCGGTGTCAGTGAGAGGCACACGATCCCTTGGACTCGCCGCCCAAGCTGCCGGTGTCAGCCGCCTCAACGCCGCCGCGTGGCGTCGGCGCGTGCCGTGAACCGGCTTCCCCCAGGTGGGTCTCACGCCACCTCCTCCACCGCCGAAGAAGGCCGAGGCTAGGGGTGTGCAAAAAACCCAGGACCGCCCAGGACCGCCCGGGACCGGACCGGAACCGGTGGTTCCCAAGGGGACCGGTCCGGTTCCCGGTTCCAATTTTTTGGAACCGGTGGGTATCGGTCCGGTTCCCGGTTCCCGGTGTGGAACCGCCCACCCGCCCACCCGGACCGGACCGGTAATATAATAATAATATATTTATTTTTTAAAATTTTAATTAAAAAAATCTGACCAAAAAAAAATAAAAAAAACGTAACTAGACACTCATAACTCTCTGCTCTCTTATCTCTAGACACTCATTTGATGGGTACTCACTTGATTTATGGATGATGTGGTTAATAGAACCGATCATAGTATAGGAATTGTATGGAAAGTTATGTTCTTTTCTTTTTGTTCCATTGATCCGATGTTGGTCCACATATTTTTTTTTTATTTGTCAGAGAAAACTTGGTGGGATAGGTTCCATGGGCCCGCCGGGAACCGGACCGGACCGGCGGTCCGGTTCCCGAGCGGGTCCATGGAACCGACGGGCGGTCCTCGGTCCCAAAATTGAGGACCAACACTGTGCGGGTTGGTCCTAGGGTTAGGGGGTGGACCGGCCCAACCCGGACCATGCTCACCCCTAGCCGAGGCAACTTGCAACGGCGTCGTCACGTTTCTCGATTTTTGTTTTTGTCTCTTAGTATTAAATATTCCTGCGACGCTGTCAGTTTGTCCCCAACTTGGCATGGAAATGTCTAAATTTTTATCCCGTACCGAATTGGCGCTAAGTGAAGTAAAAAAAACAAAATGTCTGGAAATTTTTTGTTGTACCGCGACGAGAAATTTCTGTGTCCAGAAAATGGTTGCAAGTCTACCTAAATTTGCTTCAATTTTCTTTTAGTTAATACAAGCTAAAAGATATTAGTCCATGTCACCCAAAACTTAATTGTGCGCTCGATAATTTACCGTGCACGAAATCATAATCAAGTCATATCTTATCCAGAAATCAAACTTTATATATTACTGAAAAAGAATGGAAAAACTATTGTAATTGTTAAGATATACGTGTGAATTGTCTTAGAAAAATCTCATATCGAAAAATTTGTGTGACGTGAAATAGTTAATATATCTTAATTGGCCCATAACTCATTATATTTGAAATCAAGCCAAAACATCGAGTGAAAGGTTTGATTAATTGATAATGATGTATTGACCCGACACGCGTATTTTTGGTCGATAATACACACCTGATTTATAATTACAAAAACCATTGAGTGAAATTTTTTTTCTGGCGGGGCATAAAAATCGGGTCAATAACTATTTTAGTAATTCATAATGCAATGTTCTTGCATTTTAATAATATGATAGAAGTCGACATCATTTAGGTTTTGTTTATATGATATAATTACATTTTTTTTTTCGGAATTCTAAAATTGTTTATTAAGTTTTATCAATTTAGGGGGATAAATCAAAATGAAAACATTTATCGTTGACTGACCTAATCGTTAATTTTTAGAGAAATTTAGTGGGAGGCAAAGCTTATTTTTTTTAAGGCCGAAATAAATTAGCGTAACT